GGGATGGTAGTTAATCGGAACAGAGGCAAAGCATGGCTATATGATATAATTTGCACCCGGTCCAAGAATCGAATTCGGCCATGTGAGGTGGTCCTGCGTAATTATGGACCCTGTAAAGAAAAGGCTAGAAACATATTTGTAGAAACGGTTACAATAAAGATCAATGGATCCCTTATGCTTATCTTTGATTGCAAAGATTAGTAATGAAATCAAGATCCTAATATTTCGGCTGAAAAGCAGATCTGATTAGCACGACCCCACAACCCAATACATGTGAAAAATATTGTTAAGTAGAGGACTTAGTGAAAAATAAATGGGTATAACTTTATTATTTTTTCGCATTATTTTTTCGTGCTAAAAAGCCATTACAAGAATAAAATGTAAATTTGCGTGACAAAAACGCTTAATACCAACTGTCACTATTTATTAATGTCTAAGAATATTTGCGTTATGCGAACATCATCGGTGGTTGATTTTCATAATTATCACTAAACTGCCTAATAAGTTGATCCAATTGTGGCTGTTCATCCAATCTACAGTAATCTCTTACCAACATTAACCTTTTTCGTGCCGTCATGTTGAATAATTCCTGTTCTGACATGTCGCCGACCATGTCTGCCATTCTGGCATCAACTGTTTCAGTTATGCTTTCGAGGAATTTTGTTTTCTTTTTAAGAGGCGCAGGCAAGTCTACTTGATAGGTGATGTCCTTTCCTATCCAATTGTGAAAATTTTGTCCTTCTTCAAGCACAAACTGTTTAATTATCGCCATGGCGGTACCACGATCATCAATTCTAGATGTTGCCATGTATTGTTCTTCATTTATTTTCAGGAAGAAGTAAATAATCCAATTATCATTGCAATCCGTTAAGACGGTCATTGCATTTGTAGGATGAAGTTTATCTATTAAGAATAACTCTCCCATGGCTTGACCCTCTTTAAAATCCTCAAATGTTTTCTTAATTTCAATCCAAACGCAAGCTGTCTCACTTGGTCCGACAGATATATCGGCACCACCTGTTATAATAGTGTTCGCACCTCGCAAATGTCGTTGAAAGTTTACTTGTTTGTGGACATCTTTCACGTGGAAATTCCTTGGTAGACTTAATACATTCTTAAACCATTTCTCGACGTCTTGCATCTGTTGAACTTCCTCCTGTTCTATATCCCATCTGAATGGTTCGCATGACACGGGTTCAAGTGGTAGAAAGTCTTCCACCGATAACTAGAATGGATAAATGATAAGTGATAAGAAACACTCCAAACAATACAAAAGAAAGTATTTACCTTTGCAGTCTTTATTCCAATATCATCCATAATTTTTTTCATAATTGTTTCGGAAAGCTTTGATACCGAAATTACATCAGGTTTTTGCCGGGAGAATTCTTCACGCACCGCACTTTTTA